CCCCAAAACCCCAAAACCCCAAAACCCCAAAACCCCAAAACCCCTCATCTACTAAATTTTTAGTTTATGTTTTATTTTAATCTCTGATTAAAAATCATTTTTATAAGATTTTAGGCTAAATCTCAATTTCCCTCTAATCCAAAAAAGTTGCCTTTATTTTTCTTAATCATTTTCTTAGGCTTAATAATCTCGACCCAAGGATCTTAGATAATTTGGATCAATGAGTTCAAAAAATCATTCTTGAGATCAAATACAGTTTCCTTTCCCAGGCAATGTGATTACTCTTATAAGTTTTATGTGACGATAAAACAATAGATATCTCTCTAACAATATAAATCACACTCTGACAGCTAAAAAGTGCCTTCATAATATCTGTATTGTCTCTTATTGTAATCTTATACGAGCTTCTTATCTTAAGTTAACCTTAAAGCGAATTCTGAGACTGATGAAGGTGATAAATCTTTCATTTTTAAATCCTTAATCCAATTAGTTCTCAAGTTCCAAGAAATTTTACCTTCTTTATTGGCTTTTTGCATATCAAAGGAATAGGTATATCTATTAACTGGAAGCATAGTCTCTTCATCAACCTCATAAACACAGACTGAAGGACTTCCTTAACTCCAGGTTGTCATACCGCCACAGAAATGCATAACACCGATAGCTGATTATTATCCATCATAAGCTTTTGAAAGCTCAATTCTATCTGAGTGAAGATGGCCGAAAATATTCATTCTAATAACATGTTGGTATCTATCAAGAATAGCCTAATATCTAATAGCATAAGGTATTGAGCATTATGATGGATTGATGTGCTGAATCAAAATGGCATACCCATTAACTTTTTCTAAATGCTCAAGTTCACTTACTAAGAACTAGAGTTAATCGTTGGGATCAGAAAGTACTGAAAACAGATACTTATTGATGATATCGCACGAACCAGTATTAATACTGATAACTCTAACTTCTCTATCCTTGATGGCTTCAACATTTTAGCTATAGTAGCCAGTCTTGAAAAATCTCTCTCTTTAGTCTTTATTCATCCACTTGAAGTAAGTATCAATCCCATCCTGGATAGCTTTGTTGCCAGTTTTGAAGTTCCACTAATTTGCAGGGAATGCATCATGATTTCCATAGGTAGCAAATATTTCAACATTATCTGGTGAGAAGGCATTATCGATCATTTGAGATGTTTAGTTCAGAGTGTAGGTAATCCTTTCCTCTGATGACATTGGCCCATCATGAGGAGAGTTATCTCCAGTCCAAAGCAAAACATCTGGCTTGATTTCTTCTTTAATGAACTTAAGGGCTTCTTCAAATGTAGCTCTTGGGGGATCGCATCCAACATTTAGAGTTCCGAACTTTCCAGTCAATATAGATCCTTTTCCTGTTTATGTTTATTATCTACAGCAGTAGCCATATCCACAGTCAGCAAAGACATCTTCCTAATACCAGAAATCTACATGAGGATCAGCAATTTGAACAAATTTCAAGGTTTTTCTGGGTTTTGGGTCCTCCCCTATTTATTTATAAATGGTATCGATGTAGTCATTATTTTACATATGGGGTTGCTTGTTTTTTAATATTTTTCTGATTGCATCTGTTGAATCGATTTCCTTATACTCAGGCCCATTTTCACAAAGCTTGACTATCTTCCCGCAGAAGTAGTCTGGAGTTAGAATAAGCTATGAGAGCGAATCAGCAAACGTGTAGGGAGTCTAACTTTGAGCATTTAATGCTTAAAAAAACATGTCTATGGCTTTTAGAACACCCTCATCTTTGATATGATCATTTGCAGCTTGAACAACGGTTTTGCATGTGCTACATCTAAGGCTATCAGGCCTTGCAATACTCTCATAGGACGCTGCCTAAGCGATTCCGACAATACTCAGAACGCCTAACAATACTTTTCTCATAATATTTAATTATAAGGATCCAGATATGTCGTATATTATAGCTTAATAAATATTAATTTAGATCTTAATAAATAATATAAATCTGGTTTGACTGATTCATATTTTTACTTAGAATTTATAGTAAGTTATGTTTCAATAATCTTTCCTATCATATGAGGAATCAATTCCACTTATGCAATTTTTCTTTCTTATCTTAAACTTTAACCCAAGGATTTTGAAGATACTAAAGAATACCATTGACAATATCCCCTCCCATATCATAAGGGAAGGATTTGCCTTGACATTGACTCATTTCTTCTAGACTCTATGTCATCATCTCACAGTAAGCATTCTATCTGCAATTATCATCACAAAAGCCTGATAAGTTATAATCCCTTCTTGCCCTTTGATTGTACTATCTAGCTAATAATCCATCCTATTTGACTTTATTAGCAAACTCAACGAATGAATTGGGAGAGAGATCCTTCAACTCATAAGTAATGAGCCAATCAGTGTAGAGATCCCAGGTAATAAATCCATCTTAATTTGCTTTGGCCATATCAAAGGCATAAGTTTATCTAGAGACAGGCAGCATTGTGTCTTCATCAACCTCATACACACAGAAAGATGGATTACCTCCCCAAGTGCTGATACTACCACAAACATGCAGCATGCTGATAGGTGAGTTCTAATCGTCGTATGCTCTTGAGACTTTGAATTTGTCAGCATGAGTGTGGCCGAAGAAGTTTAGACGGATGATATGCTAGAATCTTTCCAGAACAGCTCTGTACCTTACAGCATAAGATTCACTGCATTCCTCTGGGATGATGTGCTAGACAATGATTGCTACTCCATCATTCTATTCTACCAGTTTAAGTTCATTAATCAGCCATTCGATTTGATTGTTTGGATCATAGAGTTCACTCATTACAAATCTGTTATTTATATCGCAGGATTAAGTGTTTAAAGCAATGACCTGAACTAGTTTATAATTGATGTTCTTTAGTCTTTGACTATAATATCCTGTTTTCTAGAATTACTCAAATTTTTCTGGATCAATCCAAGGCTTCCACATTGACATAGAATTTTAAGCTGCAGGGCTTCCTGTCTTAAAATTCCAATTGTTGTTAGGGAAGTTGTCATGATTTCCAAAAACAGCATAGGTAGCATTGAGGAGATGTGGGAATGTTTGCTGTATCATTTGAGTAGTCACGTTAGTATTTAATGTCACTTCCCATTCGGAAGTTCTGTAGCCATCATGAGGGGAGTTATCTCCTGTCCAGACAATCACGTCAGGATTGATCTTCTCTTTGATAAAGTTCAAAGCATCTTGGAGTGTTACTTTAGGTGGATCACAGTTTCCTACAACAGCTCCGAACTTTCCAGCTTTATTACTTCCTTATCCAATGTAAGTGTCATTTCTGCAGCAATATGATTGTCCGCAATCGGAAATTGTCCCCTCCTCATAGAATAGATCAAGATGAAGATCTGATATATGCAAAAATTTTAGTCTCTTTGGTGCAGCAATATACCTTCTATTACCTAACTCCTCGTAAAGTTCATTGATGAAATTGTTTGATATGTGATTTGGCTTGTCTTTCAAAATATTATGAATGTCATCTTAAGGGTCTACCTCTTGATATTGGGCCTTGCCTTCGCAAAGATTAGTAACTTTAGAGCAGAAGTAGTCAGGAGTAATTATCAGTTAAGAGAGTGATTGAGCAATAGATAAGGCGTCATATTTATCCCCAATCAAGACATTGATGGCACTCACAAATGGATCTGTAGTCAGTCTATCACTGAGCGCTTGAACCACTGTTCTGCATCCTTAGCATCTGAGATCACCAAAACTGCTTTAGACTAGATCACTCTTAGCAAAAGCCAAACCAATCATGACTGAAATTGGTAGAAGTATCCTCTTCATGCTTATTATAATTATAATAATCCTCGAACTAATGCATTTATCAATCTAATCTTTGTCATAATTATGTTGAATTTAATGCTTATGGGGTTTTGGGGTTTTGGGG